ATCATATCTTTTCTCTTAAAAAATTTTTATTTTTTTTCAAATTATTCAATAAGCAAAAGCCACAGAGTTCATTTTCATTTTAAAAGCAATTAACTTAAACAGAAAAAGTTTAATAGCTAATCTTTTCGTATCTTGGGCTGACATTTTACTCCATTCGTCCAATATAACGGTCTTGAGCATTTATTTTTTGATAATCGTATGTGTGCGAATTCTGCGCTGCAATAGAGCCCATAAATGTTCAATTGGATTGAGGTCAGGTGATTGTGGAGGTGAATGTAGCTGTTTTGTAGCATTGTAAAGAAGCCAATGGCGAACAAGTTCCGCTGTATGCTTAGGATCACTGTCCTGTTGGAAACAAAACACGTTTGGCAATCCTAATTTGTCACACTAGATAAACAAATTTATTCATTATATTTTCGATAAACTCAATGCCACCAACTCCACTTGCTGCACCTACACCCACTCAATTGAACTCCACCCCCACCATGCTTTACGGTTGAAGTAAAATTTCGCGCTTTAATAGCCGTACCAGTTTTTCGCCACACCATCTGTCTTCCTTTTTTTCCAAATATACTATATTTGGTCTTATCCGACCATAAAACTGATTCCCAGAAAGATATAGATTTGGTTATATGTTCGTTTGCGAATGCAATGCGCTTCATACGGTTTTTTAAGGAAATGAATGGCTTTTTGCGTGCCACTCGCCCATAATATTCAACTCTTTTTAATATTTTTCTTGCTGTGTCGCTGCATATTGTTTTTTTAAATCGTATTTTTTCATCTTCTGCTACTTGGGAAACGGTTAAACGCAGATTAACCTTTACAAGAGATACAACTTTGCGTGTTTCCCGATCAGTCGGACGTCCAGATCAAGGCTTTGAAGTAATAATTCCCGTTTTTTTGAAAGTCTGGATGACGTATCGCACTGATGACTCCGTTTTGTTGACAACTCGTCCAATTTTACGAAAGCTTTTACCGTCTATCTTCACGAAATTCGGCATGTATTATTATTTAAGGCATTAATCCAAATTTCGAAGAAATTGTATAGATCGGACCACTATAGCATATAGCTGCCATACAAACTGAACAATCGGAATCAAGTGCTTGTATGGAAAACTCTTTCATTTGACGAGGAATCTTCACGAAATTTGGCATGGATTATTATTTAAGGCAACAATTTAATCTCCGAAGAAATTATTCAGATCGGGTGACTATAGCATATAGCTGCCATACAAATTGAACGTTCGGAATCAAGTTCATGTAAGGGGCCTTTGTATTTGTGAAGGGTATTATAGCTTCGGTGCAACCGAAGTTAACGTTTTTTCTTGTTTTTTATTTATACCGGTTCGAATTTTTATTTGAGATATCAAATAATAATTTGTTTTTTTTATTTATTGTATATATTTAATTATTTATTAATAACCTTAATTATTTATATTTATACTCTTTCAACATGTTGCTACAGAGTATAATAGTTTTGTTCACCTAACGGTTGTGCGTATCACCTAAAACTAATCGAGATAGATATAGAGCTATATTTATATATAATTGATCAGAATGACGAGACGTGTTGTTTATCTGTCTGTCCGTTCGTGCAAGCTGTAACTTGAGTAAAAATTAAGATATCTAGCTGAAACACATGTTCCTTGGCACCATAAGAAGTTTGGTATTGCAGATGGGCGTAATCGGACCATTGCCACTCTCACAAAATGCCATTAAGCGAAAACTTATAAAAGCCATAACTAAGCACTACATTAATATATATATCTGTAATTTGGTACAGAAGACTGTATTGGAGAAGGGCATCTATGGTCGAAAATTTTTTCAAAAATAGACGTGGAACCGACTCTAATAAGTTAAATGTATATTTCACCTAAACATTTAAAGCTATATAACCCAAATTTGCACAGAATAAATATTTTTGACACTTCCTTCAACAGTGTGAAAATGGATGAAATTGGATGATATCCCCGCCCATTCCCTATATAACGGTTTTGTTAAAAACTACCTAAAGTGCGATAAATCAATAAATAAATGCGTCAGAGACATTAAATTTTACATCCGGGATGGTTCAAGAGGGTTTTAAAGGAACCGTTGTTAAAATTGGTCGATGGGCGTGGCACCGATCGTTAATTGATCAATATCAAGAAAATTTGGTAGATAAAATTATTTTAACAATCCTATCTCACAATGAGAAAATGAGCTAAGTCGGACTACAATCACGCCTATTTCCTATCTGGCAAAATTTTAAATTTCATATGATTCTTTCACTTTCCAGTATACAAATCAAGCACCAAAGAATATATTAGGACAAGACTTTGCAGAAATAGTGGTGTTGAGGTATATCGGAACATAATTATTGATATATCACTAAGAAGCTGCTCATTTGTCAGAACAGCCGAAGTCGGACCACTATAGCATAAAGATGCCAAAAAAACCGAAAAATCGGTATCAAGTGCTTGTATGGGAAACTTTTTTATTTAACGTAATATTTTCATGAAATTTGGCATGTGTTATTTCCTAAGGCAATGTTATCTCCGAAGAAATTGTTTAGATCGGATCACTATAGCATATAGCTGCCATACAAATTGAAGGATCGGAATCAAGAGCTTTCATGTGGCGAGGTACCTTCACGAATTTTGGTATGGATTATTATTTAAGGCAAAAATACAATATCCGAAGAAATTGTACAGATCGGATGACTGTAGCATATAGCTGCCATACCAACTGAACGATCGGAATCAAGTTCTTGAAAGGAATTTTAAGTATTTATGAAGGCTATTATAGCTTCGGTGCATTTATATACATATATATATGTAAAATTTTATTTATATATATATATATATTTTATTTTTGTAAATCTGTAGTGCTTTCCTTTTAGTCTCGAAGGATCATGTTCACATTTTAACGCAGATTTCACCTCACCTTTTTTCAAGAAACACTTACTTTGGTAATAAAAAAGTTAAACGTTTAGAAAAGAGGAAAATGCCGAACTGTCTTTACGTAATATTCGTGCGATCGCTGTCTCGAAAAAGAGGCCTGGTCGATCGCCGTCCATACTTTTTTTAGTGTTAGTGTGGGGTGTTGATCAGCTGTGGAATCTGCAAGTGTGGTCTCATCGTGGATATTGTATTGTGTGTGGGGGCTGCGATGGGGAATGTAAGTTATGAGATGATGAATACGGTGTGTCAGTGTTGTCCGTCTGAATAATGTGGTGTGTTAAGGCTCATTTAGCCACATCGCATTTCAACCATTTTATTCTAATTTTAGATTTTTTTACTTTTTTGCTTTTGGTATAGATAACATTAGAAAGGGCATCTGTGGTTTATAAATTCTGAAAGATGGAGTTGCCCCGTCATTTGAAATGCTTTATATATCTGCTACCAAAATTTACTAGATTTAGAAAAAAATTCCTTCCATGTTTTCTTCAATTGGCAAAACCTGACAATATCAACTCCCACCTTCTATACAAATTTGTTTTTTTTCTGCGCTTGCGCCAAAGGGCTCCATCCAAACCTCGGTTAAGGGTAAGGTAGGGAGTGAACCACATCACCCCGACAACCGCTTGCACGATAGTGCGATGAGCACCTAGTTCGCGCACTGCACCACCACTCCCAATGAATGGCAATTAAAGGACCTCAACGATCCGTATTAACAAACTGGGCGTCTTGATGAGGTTTCAACATTTCAGTCGATGACGTCAAAATACCGCCTGTAAACAACTCTAAAATAGTGTCACATTTTATAGCCTAGAAAACCATAGCCTAAAAAAAGTCACAGAATAAAGATGGAAAAAGATTCGTTTGGAGGAAGCCTCGTACGAAATTGCATGATAAGGCTGTTATAAAAACCGTGAAATATGGCGCTGGGTTGGTTATGATGTGGGGGTGTAGGCCGGAGTCTAGAGTCGAGAAAATACATTTCGCGAATGCAAATATGGATTCCAAATACTGCATTGACATAAAGTGAAGAAAAGTGCTGAAAATTTGGGCATAAAAAATGACTTGGTGTGTTACCAGGATAATAGCCCAAAGCATGGAACGCACGAGCATAGCTACTCTATAATTTCCCAAAAATATTGGAGACACCTTCTCAGCCTCCAGACTTAAATGTAATTAAGCACGTATGGCCGGAATTGAAAAAAAAATTTCCAAACACCGCGTAAAGAATAATACTACTTTGAGGGACACTGTGTCCAAAAAGAGGTACAGTTTTGAACCAGAATTTTGAATAAAAATAATTCAAGGACGTCTTGATGCTGTCATTGCATGCAATCGGATATCAACCACTGATTGAAATTTCATGCAGTTTTTATACCCTGAACAGGGTATATTAATTTTGCCACAAAGTTTGTAACACCCAGAAGGAAACGTCGGAGACCATATAAAGTATATATATAAATGAGCACCGTTACGAGCTGAGTTGATTTAGCCATGTCCGTCTGTCTATCCGTTTGTATATACGCGAACTAGTCCCTCAGTTTTTGAGATATCGATCAGAAATTTTGCACCTGTCCTTTTCTAACAAAGAAGCTGCTCATTTGTTGGAACGGCCGATATCGGACCACTTTAGCATATAGCTGCCATACAAACTGAACAATCGGAATCAAGTGTTGTATGGAAACTCTTTCATTTGACGAGGTATCTTCATGAAATTTGGCCTGTATTATTATTTAAGGCAATTATCCAATCCTCTAAGAAATTGTATAGATAGGATGACTATAGCATATAGCTGCCATACAAACTGAACAATCGGAATCAAGTGCTTGTATGGGAAACTCTTTCATTTGACGAGGTATCTTCACGAAATTTGGCATGTATTATTATTTTAGGCAACATTGTAATCTCCGAAGAAATTATTCAGATGGGATGACTATAGCATATAGCTGCCATACAAACTGAACAAACGGAATGAAGTGCTTGTATGGAAAACTCTTTCATTTGACGAGCTATCTCTATGTTAATGTGGATTGAACATTTGTTTGTAATTACATCACTTACCTGTTAATTTGATAATGTGCCTTTAATTTTGTCCAGTCCACTTTCCAAACCGTTCCTTAACTCATCTTTTATTTTTTTTGCCGTGCCATCTTCGTTCTCATGGTAATAAATATAGTAGATCAATATGGCGCCGATTAGGAAAACCACAAAAAATGCGGTTAATATTGAAATTAAAATATTCAGCGCACAACTAAAGCAGCTGAAAAGAAAAAGTTGAAATTTATACACATACAAAGCTAAAATATTATATAGTATAGTATAGACAATTAGATTAATTAATTCAATTAACTGTTCCGGCTACGCTGCTATGGCTTATTATTTAATGTATACTATATTATTGTAATGGTCTATTCAATACAGTGAAAATGTTATTTACGATTAAAGGCGAAAACGTTATTGCCTGTGTAAGAATCCAAGGGATTGTACTTGAGGTTTAATTTTGAATATGATTAATACTTGTACAAATATTTGTCAATAAAAAAAAGTTAAATGAATTATCCATTTGGCATTTTACTGAGAAGTATAACTTTTTTTGTTTACTTTTGAACACATCCTTATGTTTACAAATATATTTTTTATATTTATGAATTGTTTTAATTTAAACATAATTGATTTTTGATAAAATCGGTTCAGGAGTTTAAGAGTAAGCCCCGAAGAAATCGTGACAAATCCTGACATGTAATTTAGATATACATATATAGATGATATATACATATTTTATATTTTTTTGCAAAAAATTTTTTTTTATATGTTTCGAGTTATTAAAGAAGACTGCATTGAAGATATGATGGACCACGAACTGAGTAGTTGATTGACTGCATTATAATAGAGATAAATAATGAATAAGCGATTATGTGGAGCAGAAAATATTTCTATTTATTCCTTTCATTTCTATATTTAGGATATGCTAAAATATATGAGTATACAACTATATCTCAATCACTATCTATTTCTCGATTATTTTCCGCTAGGAGTCTAATCCTCTCCTCCTTAACCCACCGCGATCATTATGGCCAAAAACTCGTTTCAAAAGTTCTGAAAAAGGTACGTAGGGACAACTTCCAAGGTTTGGCACCAGCCCCAATTAAATTTTCAGGTGTAATATGTGCAAATTGCCCAAGTTGATTTCTTAAAATAATAATATTAGAGAAATATAAATTTCGTGAAGCCATCAAAAAATACAAAAACCCAAAAAGACTTCATCCAACTCCCATAAATATGCCTAATTTGTACTTCTCGTTGATCGCATACTCGAATAATTACTTCTCATAAAAAAAAAAGAAATCCAAACAGCAATAATTATTTATATACTTTTAACGAAAAAACAGGTTTAAAAAAAAAAAATCTTAAGTGTATTTGAAATTAGTGTTTTGTATACAATCTGGTCCACCTTATTAGAGGTAATAATTTGTATGAAACAAAATGCTATATTAACTTAGTATCAAATGGTTTTCTGATTATTCAAAATAAAACTGTACTCTCTTTAAAAAAATACATACATCGAAATATTTACTGGTTAACCTGAATAGATGCCTTCATTACATAAGAATAAATATAATATATAAATAAATACAGGAAAATGTTTGTTTTTGCTTCTTAAAATACTATTTTGTGCTGCTATCTTGGTTATACAATACAATTTCATAAATTCGTTGGGTTCAACAAAGTCTAAAGGAATTTCAGACGAGGTCTATTTAATGCTTCTAATCAATCACTTCAATTTAAAAGTTTGAGTTCTTGAGAATAATAGAATAGAACAGAATAAGTGGCTATGTTTATGTTTCAATATTTTGGGACTTAATCTAAGACTAGACGACTCTTTGAAAGAATCATAGAATAGGTGGTCATGTTTCACGAATTTCAGGTAAAGATGATTCTAACAGTGTTTTATAATTGTCTCCCGTCATTTTGAAGTATACTGTTTAAAATTCGAATGCGCCACCTTCACTACTTAATGTCCACTAAAGAACTTTTCTTCTTTTCTTAAATCATGCAAATAAAAATGTATCCATCCGGCTAGTCCAGATTAAATTTCTTTTCATCACTTAATGCGTCGTTGCTCGAAAAATGATTCAAAGGTGTTTTTTATACCATGTTCCGACCAAAAATTTTAAGTGATTAATATAATATTACTTAATTCTATTCACTAATCTAGACTGTACTCACCGCTGATGGAGATTTCGAAAACAGCTGCTTTTGACATTAATAAATTTACATCGTTTAACATTTAGAAAACATTGTAATGTCGTATTTTGTTATAAAAGTCGTCTTGTTTTAAATATTTTCCATTTACTGGAAATAACGGACGCATTTTTTGATTTGGGAAGTCGATTGCGAGGTGAATTCAGATGCACTGCTGTTCAAAAATGAGCATGTTCGTTGGGACTAAAAGGGTCTTAGACGGTGTGCAGCAATACATTTAGTTTTTATTATTCTACATACTAAGAATATAAAAGGAGATGAGATAAGAAACATGTAAGAACAAATACAGTCCACTAATCCTAAATATGTATGTTCAAATATATTTAACAGGCATACATACATACATAAACAAACACATAAACATATATGCATTTTTATGAACAAGGATACATTTATATGATTTATAATAATTTGGGCTTCAGCAAATTGGTTGCCATATATTTGAGACGATGTAATAAAAGTTTCACTTTAAAAATAATAATAATTCCTCCTCCAGTTGCTCTAGCTTCGAATTTTTTTTGTAACATTTTTTTCTTTATTTGCATTTTAAGTCCTTCCATACCAATTTTACAAATTTTATTTTGTTTATGCCAACCATCTCCGTCGCGATATGGATGTTCAATTGAGTTAAGTTTTTTCGAAATTCAATGGTTTTATCCCCTTTAAAATTTCAAACTGCTTCGTGGCAGAAATTTTCAAATTCACTTCAAATAATCGCGATCGTTTTTATCTCGCTCTCAATTACTACAACGACAAAGAACTACTGTTACCATATTCGTTTCAAAATGGAGAATACGCAAACAGGAATGCCAAATAGCATTTCTTATTCCGTTTTATACCGACAACAGGAATAGGGCCAATCGGATTTGAAATTATGCATACGTGCTTGTTAAAAGTGATGTTACGTTATTTTGAATTTTAGGTGACGATATGAATATAATACCTTTATATGTGTTATTTACAACATTTTATACTCTCGCAAAGTCAAATGGCATACTCGTTTTAGATTTCTTTGTGGATCTCGCCGCCTTGTTCTATGTTGACCGATATTTTCGGAAAAAGTCAACTATAGGCATTTGGGGTCCACATATTCAGTACCTAGCGGTTGAACAGTTTTGGTTCGATTTAGATAATTTTTGGTTAGAAGGTGGCATACTTTAAACGCATTATTCACGCAAAGTTTTACCCCGATATAATCATTGTTGCTTGATATGCATAGTGGAAAGTGAAAGAATCAGATGGAATTTAAAATAGTATTATATGGGAAATAGGCGTGGTTGTAATCCATTTTCGCTCTATAACATAAAAATAACAGAAAAATGTTATTTACCGAATTTGGTTGAACTCGGTTAAGCAGATCCCAAGATATGGGGTTAACGACCGTTCCCACGACAGTCGGGTCTACGTAACCGGAACGGACCCGGATTTATTCCGGCCAAGGACTGTCAACTCGGCAGAATTCTGTCGCTACAACAACAACAACAACAACATATGGGGTTTCACCTAAAAGTGGGCAGTGCCACGCCATTTTGAACGTCAGAGATAAAATTTACATCAATGGCGTGTTTAGTGCTTGATTTATCGCGCTTTTAGTAGTTTTTAACAGTCTCGTTATATGGGGCGTGGGCGGGTTTGTCACCCGATTTCACTTATCTTCACACTGTCCGTAGAGGTGCTAAAAACATTTGTTCTCAGTGAATTTTGTTATTATATCTTTAGCGGTTTAGGCGATATGCACAATAAACCTATTAGGGGCGGGACCACGCCCACTTATTAAAAAATTTTAAACTGCAGATGCCCCTCTCTAATGTGATCCCGTATACCAGATAACATTATTGTATCTTATTGTGGAGTTTAGTTATGGCAATTTATTTGTTTTTGATTAATGGCGTTTTGTGGGCGTGGCAGTGATCCGATTACGCCCATCTGCAACTCCAACCGTCTTACGGTATCAAGAAATATGTGTACCAAGTTTCATAAAGATATCTCAATTTTTACTCAAGTTACAGCTTGCACAGACGGACGGACGGACAGACAGTCACCCGGATTTCAACTCGTCTCTTCATCCTGATCATTTATATATATATAACCCTATATCTAACTCGATTAGTTTCAGATGATGCAAACAACCGTTAGGTGAACAAAACTATTATATAATATTTTGTAGCAACAGGTTGCGAGAGTATAAAAAGTAGGGAAAAGCTAAGTTCGGATGCAACCGAACACTTTATACTCTCGCATAGTCATATGGTATACTTGTTTGAGATTTCTTTATATATTAGGTAAAGTAAAAAGTTCGTTCGGTTTTTTATTGATTTTTCAAAAGATGATAACTTTGTGTGCATTTGTCCGATTTAAGTCAAATATGCGCCGTTTTGTTCGTAAACTTGTTGCCAACCTCATTATACCCCTTTCGTAGGAGGCTGCGTCCCTATTGGTAAAAAACTCGGAGAGCTAATTTTCACAGGCCTCTCTTGAGGCCAACTTCTCACCATTAAGAGCGTTCGCCATGGACAGGAAAATATGGTAATCACTTGGTGCCAGGTCCGGACTATAAGGTGGGTGCATTAAGACCTCCCATCCGAGCTTCCGGAGCTTCTGGCGCGTCACCAAAGACGTGTAAGGCTTGGCATTATTCTGATGGAACACAATTCGGCCGCTGTTGATCATAGATGGCCTCTTCTGGATGAGTGCTGCCTTCAAGCGGTCCAGTTGTTGGCAGTAGAGGACTCAATTGAGCGTTTGGCCCTAGGGGAGCAGCTCGTAGTAAATGATTTCTTGTGAATCCCACCAAACACGCAGCAAAACCTACCTGGTCGTCAATCCGGTCTTGGCCACCGTCTGGGCCGCTTCCCCGAGCTTTGACCACGATCGTTTGCGCTCGATATTGTCGTAAGTGACCCATTTTTCATCGCCAGTCACAATCCGCTGTAGAAACGGGTCGATTTTGTTGCGATTCAGCAGCGATTCGCAGATGGAAATTCGGTCCATCATGTT